TTGACATTGCTCAACCTCACGTTGCACGCGTTTGCCAGGACTTCCTCCAGCAAAACAACGTGCAGGTGTTCCCATGGCCTTCTCGATCACCCGATTTGTCTCCATTTGAACATCTATGGGTCACACTTGATCGACGCTTGCGCGTACTCCACTACCTCTACAAGAACTGCACGCAGCACGTCAGCAAGAGTTTCAAAACATTCCTCAAGACAGCATTCGGCATCGCCTTTCTTCCATTGGCCACTGCTGCAAAGCTGTTATCGATGCTCATGGTGGTCACACCAGATACTGAGATTTCACTCTAACTTTAATAGTCCTCTGTGGTTTTGCCGAACACTTTCTGGATAATCATGTCTTAGAAATTTGTAAAGTGATGATTTTACTGTAATTGAGCAATGATGTCATGTTTGAAACAGTTATGCACTCAGTAAATAAACTCCAAAACAGCATATCAATTTTCTTTTTTTTAAAGAATATATTTCATCAACATTTTGCATATCAGTGGGCATATTTGTTTTGTAATAGCTTGTTTCTCAGTGACCTGAAATACTGCATAATAATGTACTTTGAAATCCTAACGGTACATGAATCAACATTTGTCAGTACATTCTTCACTGACAAGACCACAATTGTTATATAGTAATTTTTATGCTTGTGGTGTGAATGGTTTGGAGTGAAGACATTAGGTTGCCTACGTTGTAGGTGTCTGGTATGAGAGACCATTTGTTTATATTCATATGCATAAAGAAACAGACCCGCAACGAGGGGCGGAAGTGGTGCCCATGCCTACTTTTTGTCGAAATGTTTTACCCCAAAGTTTGACAAATCAATCAGAAAGTGCAGCACTTCACATATATGTCTCGGTAAACTTCAAATGACATTTGCTTTCGTTTTTTAGGTGACTGAGTGAGTAACATCGGTGGTATTTCAGCCATGTCGTAAATAAAACAAGTGATACATCTGTAATATGTAAAGTTAAATTATATTTTAAATTTTTTTCTAAAGGACAGTCAAAACAAGAAAGAACGAGACGTAAATTTAGTATGTCAAGTTGAAACACTTTTAGGAACTTCCTATAGATTGCCAACAACTGAATGTAGATCACCATATTAGGGACAAGTGGGACTTACAGTACATGTGCTAGGACCAGATGATGGTGTTGTGTGCATAATTGAGCTATACGATAAAAAACTTTTACACTACGATTCAAATCATGGACAATGAAAATACTGTAAATGAAAAGGGACTGACGTACCCTGTCCGGGGGACAATCATTTTACAGTACTTTTAACTCCCTTGGAAAGGTATATCTCTTCAGTCGTTAGCGATTGTATTCCAGTCTAACAACACATATTCTACGATTACAAACACGTAGTATAAAATAAATCCTTGGATGAAATAGAACTTATATACCTGCTCGGGGAAAAACCTTTTTACGCAACTTCAACACCTTTTGAAGTTATTGCCACGAACAGTCAAAGTTTTAAATTCATTCTATATTCCCCAAAAATATCTCTATTACCAAAAAACAATAATTACATGAACATGTACATTGTTAGAAAGATCATTCGTTGTTTTTACACTGAACTAGTGTGCGCCACATATGTCTGGTAAGCACAAATGTATTGGGACTTACGTACCCAAACAGGAGGACAGTAGTTTAACAATACCTCAAACCTTGAACACAACCGATAACAATCTCAGCTGTTCATTTAATCTAACAATTATAAACACCATCTATGTACAAACATTTGTCACAATAAGTCTATTTCTGTTTTAGAAAAAGGAATTCGTAAACGATAATTAACAAGGTTAAAAACACCCTGATCTGTGTTCACATTGAAATGAAATATTAAATTTGACCACTTTCTAAATGACATTGTGCATTCATAGCGTTAGGCCGTGGTAGCCGTGCCAAGTTACATTTACCAGAGGGGTGCACAAAGTCCGTAGCCTAGACTACGAGTTATCCGACTTCCATTTTTGTGGAAGCCACAGTGGTTGAGCCGGTTAGGTTCAATAAGCTCAATAGTAAATGATCTGACCCAATACAAGTTGTAAATGATAATAATCTGCACTGAATTTACAGAGACTGTCCAACACCTTGTCAGTGGATGCCCTTCCTTTGCATAAAGAGCATATCTTAAACGACATGATGGCATGGCTCGTTGCTTTTATTACCGACATGCCTGTGGCTTTGACTCCGAGGTCCATCCATGGTACGACCCTGAACATGTCCAGGGCGTCATGGAAAATGTCCTTTTTGATAAAGCCAATGGATTTATTTATATCATTGAATTTTCTGTCCCTTTTGTCAGCAACGTGATTGGCAAGATTCAGGAAAAGCATGATAAATATACGGACCTCGCCTTTGAAATATCTCGCTTGCATCCCAAGTACACTGTCGTCAGGTTCCTCTTTGTTCTCGGTGCGCCTGGTTTGGTACCTCCTGATCTCTTGGCGCAGATCAGGAGAGTGCCCGGGTTCTCCACCGGGAGTACAGCCCTTCTGACACTCTGGGTAATGCAGAAGGCTGCAATGTTGAGAACCTTCATATTCTCCGGAAAGTTCTTGGTGGGTTCGACTAGGCAACGTTTCCTTGGAGAAGTCCCTTCACTGGCTAGGCTGCGTGTAGAGGGGCAAGGGCCCTGAGCTGATGATGAGCCTTACCAGCCTGACTGTGCCAGGATCACCCGAACCCTCTCTGCTGCATTTCCATCTTTAATCTGAAAAACATAATAATAATGAGAGTATTTATATAGCTCTTCCACTTCCACCACACAAAGGCAATGCTCAAAGCGCTGACAAGTCACAGTTCATGTGTAAAAGACAAATACATGGATTTATGAAACATATTGTTGAATGATGTGTGTTTTTGACGAGTGGCAGAGTTGGTACTGGTTTTAGATCAAGAGGCAGAGAGTTCCAAAGGGTAGCAGCTGCATACTGAATGACTTGATTTGAGTTTACAAGTAGGCATGGACAGGAGAAACTGATCATAGGTAAGTTCTTGGGTATTGTTTTCGAGCAACACTTGAACTTTCGTCCACATATCAAATATGTCAAGAATAATTGCTTAAACCTGATTCCAACTTGAAGTTTCAAGTTTATATGTGGACGATGATTAGACAACTACGCCCTTATTCTGAATCGATATTTCTAAATGCGTCCTAAGTACACAGTGGGTCTCACACCACCCACACAGTACACAGTCTCACACCACCCACACAGTACACAGTCTCACACCACCCACACAGTACACAGTCTCACACCACCCACACAGTACACAGTGGTTCTCACACCACCCACACAGTACACAGTCTTACACCACCCACACAGTACACAGTGAGTCTCACACCACCCACACAGTACACAGTCTCACACCACCCACACAGTACACAGTCTCACACCACCCACACAGTACACAGTGGTTCTCACACCACCCACACAGTACACAGTCTTACACCACCCACACAGTACACAGTGAGTCTCACACCACCCACACAGTACACAGTGAGTCTCACACCACCCACACAGTACACAGTTAGTCTCACACCACCCACACAGTACACAGTGGTTCTCACACCACCGACACAGTACACAGTCTCACACCACCCACACAGTACACAGTCTCACACCACCCACACAGTACACAGTCTCACACCACCCACACAGTACACAGTGGTTCTCACACCACCCACACAGTACACAGTCTTACACCACCCACACAGTACACAGTGAGTCTCACACCACCCACACAGTACACAGTCTCACACCACCCACACAGTACACAGTCTCACACCACCCACACAGTACACAGTGGTTCTCACACCACCCACACAGTACACAGTCTTACACCACCCACACAGTACACAGTGAGTCTCACACCACCCACACAGTACACAGTGAGTCTCACACCACCCACACAGTACACAGTTAGTCTCACACCACCCACACAGTACACAGTGGTTCTCACACCACCGACACAGTACACAGTCTTACACCACCCACACAGTACACAGTGAGTCTCACACCACCCACACAGTACAAAGTAAGTCTCACGTACCCCATACAGTACACAGTCTCACACAACCCACACAGTACACAGTCTCACCTATTATATCGATCGAAGTTCATGTTGTCAATCACAGGATGTCAAACTGTAAAAGCTAAATTTAGGAAGGGTTACTTTTTTCCTGCATAGACACGCGGTCTCGATGAAGAGTTATCTAAATCAAATTGAACCATGTATATTTAATACTTCTTCCATAAAATATGTATTTGGAATTAAATCATACATAATATTGAATGGCAAAACATATGTCGAAAGGCGAAAACTGAAGCTAGTAGTTATATAGTTTTGTGAACAACATATTCCCTGTTTCAGCCTCGACTGACCCGAGCCCGAGCACCACGGTTCCACCAACGCCAGTGACGACACAAGACTCTGATCTACCAGCAGGCAGCCTTATATCTTATTGCCCTAATAAATACCAAACAACATTTGTACTGACATTATCAACTTGTAAAGTTCAACAAACATCATCACTCTCCACACGTACACAACTATTGCTACAACTTCTGGTTCTAACAGAAAGTTCTGTATTAAACACACCATCCATAATTCCAGAAACCACAAGTTGACATTCCCGCCATGTTGTATTGTTGTCAGCCATGATGGAATTGTTTAAATGATGTAGCAATGTCCGAGTCACGTATCAACATGATGAAGACATTGTAGATGTGTGACAAAGATGTCTGATGTACACAGTTTACTTTGTGTTGCAGCGACTCCATCACCAGCCACAGACCGCGACCTCTACTCCGCCAGCGAGGACGGTGACCTGGAGAGAGTGAAGCGGATCCTGGCAGCGGGTCACGTGGGCATCAACACGAGAGGAGGAGGATACAGCAGCTATACACCGGTGATGGCGGCAGCACTGAGGGGACACAGAGATGTGGTGTAGCTCCTGGTGGGTAGAGGGGCTGATATGTCACTAATGGACAGGCGCGGTAGGAACGTCCTTCACTGGGCCTGTTTGGGTGGAGACCTGGAGATCGTGAAGCTGATCCTGTCCCTGAACGTGGTGGACATCAACGCCAGGGGCAACAGCGGCCGACTACGCGAGACGCTTTGGACATCAGCGAGTGGTGGATCTCCTGGTGTCACGTGGTGGACACTGAAGTCGGTGTCGGTGTGGACAGCGACGGAGCACGTGCCGTTACTGACACTGACGAGGTGTGTGCCGTCCACGTTGTCGTGTGTCACAATTTACGTGATTTCCTTTTACTTTGTGAATATAAATAAAACTTGTTGAAAGTATTTTCAGACATTTTGTCATTCGTTGTGTTTGGAACCTCGCGTGATCAGGTAAGAATATTGTGAAGTGAGTGTAAACATAAACGGTGAGTGATTGGACGTACACGTCGCCCGTCTTTAGATTATTCTGTGTTAATTTTGTTCCGAGAATATCGCGAATTGTTAAACAGACAACAACAAACTGTTTGTTTACATGTCGCTGCACTCTGTGACCTCAGACTGAGCCGAGATTCACCCAGATGACGTAAATAGAGGAAACATCTCTAGCACCACGAACTGCTCAAACTGAAAAGTAGCATGCCATAACGACGTCATCCAACCTCAAATCACAAAAGCCTCACACCCGTCTGGGAGGTCATCAAATCACATAAGTGTTGTGTACCGAATGAAATAAACGGAACAGTCACTGGAAGATTGATGATACGGTTAAACCTGATTGTGCAAGGTGGATGTTCACCATTGATGTTAGTGACTGTTTCAGTATTGGACAGTTCTGTAAATATGAACTGAGAGGTGCCTATTTCACAGACTGTTCTACCACCAGTGGTTACATCACTGAATTGGCTCGATTGTTTACAAACTGCCGCCATATTGCTTGAATATTGCAGAATGCGGCGTTAAGCAACATCCAAACAACATACTACTTACCATCTTAAATTGTGGCTCTACTAGATTCGATCCCATATATTCCACAAATGTGGCGAACCCCTCATTGAGCCATAAGTCGTCCCACCATTTCGGTGTCACCAGGTTCCCGAACCACTGAAAGAGAGTGAATACAGTTATACGCAACCTTTAGCAATATTCCAGCAATTTCAGGCAGGTGCTCCCTTCAATGCTCCTTGTGATGGTCCATGGACCACTACCACCACCTGCAGGTGGACCAGTGTTACTGTCCTCCTTATGATGGTCCATGGTCCACTACCACCACCTGCAGGTGGACCAGTGTTACTTTCACAGAACTTCAACACTCCAACATTAAAGGTGTTAGAAGAACTCCCAACCTGCCTAGTTGTTCTTACCAAGTTCAAACCAGTTATGTTCTACCCACACAAATCACTCCTGGTGTATGCAAACGTGTGGAATCCATATTTATTATGCCTATTCATTTTATATGTCAGCAAACTCCGTCAAGTAATTCCTGTGTGCCTACGTGAGGTTTGCTTTATCAAGCTTATGATCCAATTAAGTTGTGTGTTACATTAATGACAAGAGGCAAGGAAATGGTAACATCACTTCAACACGAAGCATAACCGGAATATAATGATTCATTGAATCTTCCGTGTACTGCCGCAGTCAGCCCAGCGACACCAGGTTGGTCTATCGGTATTCTTATGTTGGGCCTTGTAAACCAGAGGCTAATACCACGGACTACATTCGACATTGGCCAACTTTTGATGTTACATTAATGTCAAGGCAATTGCATAACTAAAATCAAAAGAAAATGTTCTCATTTGAGGAGCACTGTACACAGCCCACCCGTTAAACTGGCACATCGGGAATGGAAACACGGCCAATTGTATCTTGTTGTCATATGACTACTGACATGACTGTATCGTGTTCTCATGTGAATACTGACATGACTGCATCGTGTTGTCATGTGACTACTGACATGACTGTGTTGAGTTGTCATATGACTACTGACATGACTGTGTTGAGTTGTCATGTGACTACTATTGTTGTTTTAATGAATTCCTCCTCTACAAGGTGCACTGTGTGACAGCGTCATGGAGACACGTATCTGACGCTTGTAGAGTCAGTCATGCTTGACAACGGATCAAGACTGTGTATCCCACTACATGTTACCCTCCTGCTTGACAACGGTTCAAGACTGTGTATCCCACTACATGTTACCCTCCTGCTTGACAATGGTTCAAGACTGTGTAGACCACTACATGTTACCTGCTTGACAACGGTTCAAGACTGTGTATCCCACTACATGTTACCCTCCTGCTTGACAACGGTTCAAGACTGTGTAGACCACTACATGTTACCTGCTTGACAACGGTTCAAGACTGTGTATCCCACTACATGTTACCCTCCTGCTTGACAACGGTTCAAGACTGTGTATACCACTACATGTTACCCTCCTGCTTGACAATGGTTCAAGACTGTGTATACCACTACATGTTACCCTCCTGCTTGACAACGGTTCAAGACTGTGTGTCCCACTACATGTTACCCTCCTGCTTGACAACGGTTCAAGACCGTGTATACCACTACATGTTACCCTCCTGCTTGACAACGGATCAAGACTGTGTATCCCACTACATGTTACCCTCCTGCTTGACAACGGTTCAAGACTGTGTATCCCACTACATGTTACCCTCCTGCTTGACAACGGTTCAAGACCGTGTATACCACTACATGTTACCCTCCTGCTTGACAACGGATCAAGACTGTGTATCCCACTACATGTTACCCTCCTGCTTGACAACGGTTCAAGACTGTGTGTCCCACTACATGTTACCCTCCTGCTTGACAATGGTTCAAGACTGTGTAGACCACTACATGTTACCTGCTTGACAACGGTTCAAGACTGTGTATCCCACTACATGTTACCCTCCTGCTTGACAACGGATCAAGACTGTGTATCCCACTACATGTTACCCTCCTGCTTGACAACGGTTCAAGACTGTGTATCCCACTACATGTTACCCTCCTGCTTGACAACGGTTCAAGACTGTGTGTCCCACTACATGTTACCCTCCTGCTTGACAACGGTTCAAGACTGTGTATCCCACTACATGTTACCCTCCTGCTTGACAACGGTTCAAGACTGTGTGTCCCACTACATGTTACCCTCCTGCTTGACAATGGTTCAAGACTGTGTAGACCACTACATGTTACCTGCTTGACAACGGTTCAAGACTGTGTATCCCACTACATGTTACCCTCCTGCTTGACAACGGTTCAAGACTGTGTATCCCACTACATGTTACCCTCCTGCTTGACAACGGTTCAAGACTGTGTATCCCACTACATGTTACCCTCCTGCTTGACAACGGTTCAAGACTGTGTATACCACTACATGTTACCTGCTTGACAACGGTTCAAGACTGTGTGTCCCACTACATGTTACCTGCTTGACAACGGTTCAAGACTGTGTGTCCCACTACATGTTACCTGCTTGACAGCGGTTCAAGACTGTGTGTCCCACTACATGTTACCTGCTTGACAACGGTTCGAGACTGTGTGTCCCACTACATGTTACCTGCTTGACAGCGGTTCAAGACTGTGTGTCCCACTACATGTTACCTGCTTGACAGCGGTTCAAGACTGTGTGTCCCACTACATGTTACCTGCTTGACAGCGGTTCAAGACTGTGTGTCCCACTACATGTTACCTGCTTGACAACGGTTCGAGACTGTGTGTCCCACTACATGTTACCTGCTTGACAGCGGTTCAAGACTGTGTGTCCCACTACATGTTACCTGCTTGACAGCGGTTCAAGACTGTGTGTCCCACTACATGTTACCTGCTTGACAATGGTTCAAGACTGTGTGTCCCACTACATGTTACCTGCTTGACAGCGGTTCAAGACTGTGTGTCCCACTACATGTTACCTGCTTGACAACGGTTCGAGACTGTGTATACCACTACATGTTACCCTCCTGCTTGACAACGGATCAAGACTGTGTGTCCCACCACATGTTACCCTCCTGCTTGACAACGGTTCAAGACTGTGTGTCCCACCACATGTTACCCTCCTGCTTGACAACGGATCAAGACTGTGTATACCACTACATGTTACCTGCTTGACAATGGTTCAAGACTGTGTGTCCCACTACATGTTACCCTCCTGCTTGACAACGGTTCAAGACTGTGTAGACCACTACATGTTACCCTCCTGCTTGACAACGGTTCAAGACTGTGTATCCCACTACATGTTACCCTCCTGCTTGACAATGGTTCAAGACTGTGTAGACCACTACATGTTACCTGCTTGACAGCGGTTCAAGACTGTGTGTCCCACTACATGTTACCTGCTTGACAACGGTTCGAGACTGTGTATACCACTACATGTTACCCTCCTGCTTGACAACGGATCAAGACTGTGTGTCCCACCACATGTTACCCTCCTGCTTGACAACGGTTCAAGACTGTGTGTCCCACCACATGTTACCCTCCTGCTTGACAACGGTTCAAGACTGTGTATCCCACTACATGTTACCCTCCTGCTTGACAACGGTTCAAAACTGTATACCACCACATGTTACCCTCCTGCTTGACAACGGTTCAAGACTGTGCATTCCACTACATGTTACCCTCCTGCTTGACAACGGTTCAAGACTGTGCATTCCACTACATGTTACCCTTCTGCTTGACAACAGTTCAAGACTGTGTATACCACTACATATTACCTGCTTGACAACGGTTCAAGACCGTGTATACCACTACATGTTACCTGCTTGATAACGGTTCAAGAATGTGTATACCACTACATGTTACCTGCTTGACAACGGTTCAAGACTGTGTATACCACTACATGTTACCTGCTTGACAACGGTTCAAGACTGTGTATACCACTACATGTTACCTGCTTGACAGCGGTTCAAGACTGTGTATACCACTACATGTTACCTGCTTGACAGCGGTTCAAGACTGTGTATACCACTACATGTTACCCTCCTGCTTGACAACGGTTCAAGACCGTGTATACCACTACATGTTACACTCCTGCTTGATAACGGTTCAAGACTGTGTATACCACTACATGTTACCTGCTTGACAACGGTTCAAGACTGTGTATACCACTACATGTTACACTCCTGCTTGATAACGGTTCAAGACTGTGTATACCACTACATGTTACCTGCTTGACAACGGTTCAAGACTGTGTATCCCACTACATGTTACCCTCCTGCTTGACAACGGTTCAAAACTGTATACCACCACATGTTACCCTCCTGCTTGACAACGGTTCAAGACTGTGCATTCCACTACATGTTACCCTCCTGCTTGACAACGGTTCAAGACTGTGCATTCCACTACATGTTACCCTTCTGCTTGACAACAGTTCAAGACTGTGTATACCACTACATATTACCTGCTTGACAACGGTTCAAGACCGTGTATACCACTACATGTTACCTGCTTGATAACGGTTCAAGAATGTGTATACCACTACATGTTACCTGCTTGACAACGGTTCAAGACTGTGTATACCACTACATGTTACCTGCTTGACAACGGTTCAAGACTGTGTATACCACTACATGTTACCTGCTTGACAGCGGTTCAAGACTGTGTATACCACTACATGTTACCTGCTTGACAGCGGTTCAAGACTGTGTATACCACTACATGTTACCCTCCTGCTTGACAACGGTTCAAGACCGTGTATACCACTACATGTTACACTCCTGCTTGATAACGGTTCAAGACTGTGTATACCACTACATGTTACCTGCTTGACAACGGTTCAAGACTGTGTATACCACTACATGTTACACTCCTGCTTGATAACGGTTCAAGACTGTGTATACCACTACATGTTACCTGCTTGACAACGGTTCAAGACTGTGTATCCCACTACATGTTACACTCCTGCTTGATAACGGTTCAAGACTGTGTATACCACTACATGTTACCTGCTTGACAACGGTTCAAGACTGTGTATACCACTACATGTTACCTGCTTGACAATGGTTCAAGACTGTGTATCCCACTACATGTTACACTCCTGCTTGATAACGGTTCAAGACTGTGTATACCACTACATGTTACCTGCTTGACAACGGTTCAAGACTGTGTATACCACTACATGTTACTCTCCTGCTTGACAACGGTTCAAGACTGTGTATACCACTACATGTTACCTGCTTGACAACGGTTCAAGACTGTGTATACCACTACATGTTACCTGCTTGACAGCGGTTCAAGACTGTGTATACCACTACATGTTACCTGCTTGACAGCGGTTCAAGACTGTGTATACCACTACATGTTACCTGCTTGACAACGGTTCAAGACTGTGTATACCACTACATGTTACCTGCTTGACAACGGTTCAAGACTGTGTATACCACTACATGTTACCCTCCTGCTTGACAAGGAATCACACATAACCCTAATCTAAACAGGTATGATACAACCCCCCTATCTAAACAAGTCATCACATATCCTATGTGCCTAAACAATTCATCATATATTCCACTGAACCTAAACAATTAATCGTATATTCCCCAGAACGTAAACAATTCATCATATATTCCCCTGTAATTAAACAAATCATCATATGCTCCCCTGTAAGTAAACAATTCATCATATATTTCCCTTTACCTAAATAATTCATCAAATATTCCCCTGTACCTAAATAATTCATCCTATATCCCATGTACCTAAATAATTCATCATATATTCCCATGTACCTAAACAATTCATCCTATATTCCTCTGTACCTAAACAATTCATCATATATTCCCCTGTACCTAAATAATTCATCAATTTTTGCATCAGTTCAGAAGAAGGTACTGTATGTACAACCAAGTCGATACTTTTAGATAAAGGAGACGCTGAGCGCGATGGTGACCACGTAGCATGGTCCCGACGTCGGATCTCCTGGCTCTCAGTCCAATCTCTCTCAACCTGTTCCGTACATTTTGACCGGATATCCTCTTAAGTCCAGGCACCCTGGCTGCTGTGCTCTCACCCGTGGCAGTACGATCAGCTTTTGTCTATGGTGAAATGGGCGTACTGCCATTGATTACTATTAGATTGGTACGCATTGTGAAATATTGGATTAAGATTATCACCAGTGACGGAAACCGATATATAAACATTATATATAGGGCTCTAGTCGACAATGCTCGACAGAATCCAGCATATACGACATGGGTTACTCTCATTAGAGATTTGTTGTTTCACTATGGATATAGTTTTATCTGGTTACAACAGAAATTGACTGAAGTTGAAGTATTAACCTTCAACTTAGCCAAATTTGTTTATCATATATTTCAGGTAAAGCAAAACTATAATCTGAATTATCCATGAATGTTTATTTCCTTCCTAGTGCTTTTTTCTGTCACGAAGGTCTTTGCAAGTGGGTTGGGTTGGGTTGGGGGAGGGGGGAGGCAAATGTTGGCAATCGCTTTTGAAAGTATGTGTGATGTATTTGTCATGTTGGCCGTTGGCCTATCAAAGAAATAAACAAACAAACATATGTAGTACCCGGATGTACCGATCTGTACGAGGACGGTCATTTGTTATACCCGTTTGGTTGTAACGAGCTGCAAGCCGTAATATCGTGCTCAGACTAACATTCAGACGCCTGGAAACAGAAGATTAGTAATCTCCAGCGCGGATTCTTTCAATGGCGATGTTCCGTGTCGCAGCGTCAAGACGTAGCGTATGTACAATATAGAACAAGTTTTATGGATAACAACTTCTTTATTTCGTGAGTGCGACGTTTCGGTACAGATTCCTGTACCGTTGTCAAGCAAGAGTGATGACAACGGTACAAGAATCTGTCGCACTCACGAAATAAAGAAGTTGTTATCCATAAAACTTGTTCTATATTGTACGTCTCAACTTCTAAAATGCCACTCAAACAAGTAGCGTATGTAGTCATTTGATCTTGAAACTCCTTCAAAACGAATGCCAATTTCCGAAAGTAATCTGAATTTTTATGGCCAGACAGTGCATGCTCTTTGCTGCACAATTTCAACTGGAAGGTGATTTCTGTTGCGTTGTGACGATGCCTTTTTAATCCTTGTAGGAATTCTCATCAAAATCAACATTTTCAGGTCACGTCGATTTTTAACTTTTGCAATTGTGTAAAATCATGTTATCAACACTTTTGTTTCATATTTTGACGATTGTTTGACCACAATAGGTAATTAATAGATATTAGAAAATACAAATCGCCTATTGTTTCTTTTTTGGGATAGTATATATTCCTAAACCTAAACATCACATATCCCCCTGAAACGTTTTTGAAAGGACTGAAACAATAGCCAGGAATGGTGCAAGGTCTCTGGTTCATGTTGTTGTGTTGAAGCTAGATCACAGACGATGGACAGTTTGCCTTGATGCGTGTTCCAGACATGATCGCGATCCCCGACTTTGCAATGGGCGCCATGGAAAACTGGGGGATGATCACGTACCGTGAAAGTCTGCTGCTGTACAAGGAGGCTGTCACCAACAACTATGCTAAACAACAGGTCTTGGTGGCAATTGCCCATGAACTGGCACATCAGGTATAGAAGATGTCGCCAGGTGAACACTTGATTACTTACTGTTCATTTTGTTCCAGGTAAACACTTGATTACTTACTGTTAATTTTGTCCCAGGTAAAACTCTGCTGTTGATTTATATATATCTGTCTAAATGTTGCAAGTGGTTTGGCCAGGTATAAACTCAGGTTGATGATGCTCATTTAGATGTGGGTGTCAGTCGTCTAACACTGGTCCACCTGCAAGTGGTGGTAGTGGTCCATGGACCATCACAAGGAGGACAGTAACACTGGTCCACCTGCAGGTGGTGGTAGTGGACCATTGACCATCACAAGGAGGACAGTAACACTGGTCCACCTGCAGGTGGTGGTAGTGGTCCATTGACCATCACAAGGAGCATTGAAGGGAGCACCTGCCTGAAATTGCTGGAATATTGCTAAAGGTTGCGTATAACTGTATTCACTCTCTTTCAGTGGTTCGGGAACCTGGTGACACCGAAATGGTGGGACGACTTATGGCTCAATGAGGGGTTCGCCACATTTGTGGAATATATGGGATCGGATCTAGTAGAGCCTCAATTTAAGATGGTAAGTAGTATGTTGTTTGGATGTTGCTTAACGCCGCATTCTGCAATATTCAAGCAATATGGCGGCAGTTTGTAAACAATCGAGCCAATTCAGTGATGTAACCACTGGTGGTAGAACAGTCTGTGACATAGGCACCTCTCAGTTCATATTTACAGAACTGTCCAATACTAACATCAATGGTGAACATCCACCTTGCACAATCAGGTTTAACCGTATCATCAATCTTCCAGTGACTGTTCCGTTTATTTCATTCGGTACACAACACTTATGTGATTTGATGACCTCCCAGACGGGTGTGAGGCTTTTGTGGTTTGAGGTTGGATGACGTCATTATGGCATGCTACTTTTCAGTTTGAGCAGTTCGTGGTGCAAGAGATGTTTCCTCTATTTACGTCATCTGGGTGAATCTCGGCTCAGTCTGAGGTCACAGAGTGCAGCGACATGTAAACAAACAGTTTGTTGTTGTCTGTTTAACAATTCGCGATATTCTCGGAACAAAATTAACACAGAATAATCTAAAGACGGGCGGCGTGTACGTCCAATCACTCACCGTTTATGATTACACTCACTTCACAATATTCTTACCTGATCACGCGAGGTTCCAAACACAACAAATGACAAAATGTCTGAAAATACTTTCAACAAGTTTTATTTATATTCACAAAGTAAAAGGAAATCACGTAAATTGTGACACACGACAACGTGGACGGCACACACCTCGTCAGTGTCAGTAACGGCACGTGCTCCGTCGCTGTCCACACCGACACCGACTTCAGTGTCCACCACGTGACACCAGGAGATCCACCACTCGCTGATGTCCAAAGCGTCTCGCGTAATCGGCCGCTGTTGCCCCTGGCGTTGATGTCCACCACGTTCAGGGACAGGATCAGCTTCACGATCTCCAGGTCTCCACCCAAACAGGCCCAGTGAAGGACGTTCCTACCGCGCCTGTCCATTAGTGACATATCAGCCCCTCTACCCACCAGGAGCTACACCACATCTCTGTGTCCCCTCAGTGCTGCCGCCATCACCGGTGTATAGCTGCTGTATCCTCCTCCTCTCGTGTTGATGTCCACGTGACCCGCTGCCAGGATCCGCTTCACTCTCTCCAGGTCACCGTCCTCGCTGGCGGAGTAGAGGTCGCGGTCTGTGGCTGGTGATGGAGTCGCTGCAACACAAAGTAAACTGTGTACATCAGACATCTTTGTCACACATCTACAATGTCTTCATCATGTTGATACGTGACTCGGACATTGCTACATCATTTAAACAATTCCATCATGGCTGACAACAATACAACATGGCGGGAATGTCAACTTGTGGTTTCTGGAATTATGGATGGTGTGTTTAATACAGAACTTTCTGTTAGAACCAGAAGTTGTAGCAATAGTTGTGTAGGTGTGGAGAGTGATGATGTTTGTTGAACTTTACAAGTTGATAATGTCAGTACAAATGTTGTTTGGTATTTATTAGGGCAATAAGATATAAGGCTGCCTGCTGGTAGATCAGAGTCTTGTGTCGTCACTGGCGTTGGTGGAACCGTGGTGCTCGGGCTCGGGTCAGTCGAGGCTGAAACAGGGAATATGTTGTTCACAAAACTATATAACTACTAGCTTCAGTTTTCGCCTTTCGACATATGTTTTGCCATTCAATATTATGTATGATTTAATTCCAAATACATATTTTATGGAAGAAGTATTAAATATATATGGTTCAATTTGATTTAGATAACTCCTCATCGAGACCGTGTGTCTATGCAGGAAAAAAGTAACCCTTCCTAAATTTAGCTTTTACAGTTTGAAATCCTGTGATTGACAACATGAACGTCGATCGATATAATAGGTGAGACTGTGTACTGTGTGGGTTGTGTGAGACTGTACTGTGTGGGTGGTGTGAGACTATGTACTGTTTAGTGTACGTGAGACTGTGTACTGTGTGGGGTACGTGAGATCCACTGTGTACTGTGTGGGTGGTGAGAGACTGTGTACTGTGCGGGATATGTGAGACTGTACTGTGTAGGTGGTGCGAGACTGTGTACTGTATGGGGTACGTGAGATCCACTGTGTACTGTGTGGGTGGTGAAAGACAGTGTACTGTGTGGGATATGTGAGACTGTACTGTGTAGGTGGTGTGAGACTGTGTACTGTATGGGGTACGTGAGATCCACTGTGTACTGTGTGGGTGGTGAAAGACAGTGTACTGTGTGGGATATGTGAGACTGTACTGTGTAGGTGGTGTGAGACTGTGTACTGTATGGGGTACGTGAGATCCACTGTGTACTGTGTGGGTGGTGAAAGACAGTGTACTGTGTGGGATATGTGAGACTGTACTGTGTAGGTGGTGTGAGACTGTGTACTGTATGGGGTACGTGAGATCCACTGTGTACTGTGTGGGTGGTGAAAGACAGTGTACTGTGTGGGATATGTGAGACTGTACTGTGTAGGTGGTGTGAGACTGTGTACTGTTTAGTGTACGTGAGACTGTGTACTGTGTGGGTGGTGAAAGACTAAACTGTGTAGGTGGTGTGAGACTGTGTACTGTATGGGGTACGTGAGATCCACTGTGTACTGTGTGGGTGGTGAGAGACTGTGTACTGTATGGGGTACGTGAGACCCACTGTGTACTGTGTGGGTGGTGTGAGACTGTGTACTGTATGGGGTACGTGAGACCCACTGTGTACTGTGCGGGTGATGTGAGACTGTGTACTGTATGGGGTACGTGAGACTTACTTTGTACTGTCTGGGATATGTGAGACTCACCACTGTGTGTACTGAGTGTGTACTGTGTGGTGTGAGACTCACTGTGTACTGTGTGGGTGGTGTGAGACCCACTGTGTGGGTGTGTGTGAGAACCACTGTGTGTGTGGGTGGTGTGAGACTGTGTACTGTATGGGGTACGTGAGACTTACTTTGTACTGTGTGGGTGGTGTGAGACTGTGTACTGTGTGGGTGGTGTGAGACTTTGTACTGTGTGGGTGGTGTGAGACTCACTGTGTACTGTGTGGGGTACGTGAGACTTACTTTGTACTGTGTGGGTGGTGTGAGTGGTGTGAGACTGTGTACTGTATGGGGTACGTGAGACTTACTTTGTACTGTGTGGGTGGTGTGAGAACCACTGTGTGGGTGGTGTGAGACTGTGTACTGTGTGGGTGGTGTGAGACTGTGTACTGTGTGGGTGGTGTGAGACTGTGTACTGTGTGGGTGGTGTGAGACTTTGTACTGTGTGGGTGGTGTGAGACTCACTGTGTACTGTGTGGGGTACGTGAGACTTACTTTGTACTGTGTGGGTGGTGTGAGTGGTGTGAGACTGTGTACTGTATGGGGTACGTGAGACTTACTTTGTACTGTGTGGGTGGTGTGAGAACCACTGTGTGGGTGGTGTGAGACTGTGTACTGTGTGGGTGGTGTGAGACTGTGTACTGTGTGGGTGGTGTGAGACTGTGTACTGTGTGGGTGGTGTGAGACTGTGTACTGTGTGGGTGGTGTGAGACCCACTGTGTACTTAGGACGCATTTAGAAATATCGATTCAGAATAAGGGCGTAGTTGTCTAATCATCGTCCACATATAAACTTGAAACTTCAAGTTGGAATCAGGTTTAAGTATCTTTTATTCTTGACATATTTGATATGTGGACGAAAGTTCAAGTGTTGCTCGAAAACAATACCCAAGAACTTACCTATGATCAGTTTCTCCTGTCCATGCCTACTTGTAAACTCAAATCAAGTCATTCAGTATGCAGCTGCTACCCTTTGGAACTCTCTGCCTCTTGATCTAAAACCAGTACCAACTCTGCCACTCGTCAAAAACACACATCATTCAACAATATGTTTCATAAATCCATGTATTTGTCTTTTACACATGAACTGTGACTTGTCAGCGCTTTGAGCATTGCCTTTGTGTGGTGGAAGTGGAAGAGCTATATAAATACTCTCATTATTATTATGTTTTTCAGATTAAAGATGGAAATGCAACAGAGAGGGTTCGGGTGATCCTGGCACAGTCAGGCTGGTACGGCTCATCATCAGCTCAGGGCCCTTGCCCCCTCTACACGCAGCCTAGCCAGTGAAGAGGACTTCTCCAAGGAAACGTTGCCTAGTCGAACCCACCAAGAACTTTCCGGAGAATATGAAGGCTCCCAAACATTGCAGCCTTCTGCATTACCCAGAGTGTCAGAAGGGCTGTACTCCCGGTGGAGAACCCGGGCACTCTCCTGATCTGCGCCAAGAGATCAGGAGGTACCAAACCAGGCGCACCGAGAACAAAGAGGAACCTGACGACAGTGTACTTGGGATGCAAGCGAGATATTTCAAAGGCGAGGTCCGTATATTTATCATGCTTTTCCTGAATCTTGCCAATCACGTTGCTGTCAAAAGGGACAGAAAATTCAATGATATAAATAAATCCATTGGCTTTATCAAAAAGGACATTTTCCATGACGCCCTGGACATGTTCAGGGTCGTACCATGGATGGACCTCGGAGTCAAAGCCACAGGCATGTCGGAGACATAGTAGTAAAAGCAACGAGCCATGCCATCATGTCGTTTAAGATATGCTGTTTATGCAAAGGAAGGGCATCCACTGACAAGGTGTTGGACAGTCTCTGTAAATTCAGTGCAGATTTACAACTTGTATTGGGTCAGATCATTTACTATTGAGCTTATTGAACCTAACCGGCTCAACCACTGTGGCTTCCACAAAAATGGAAGTCGGATAACTCGTAGTCTAGGCTACGGACTTTGTGCACCCCTCTGGTAAATGTAACTTGGCACGGCTACCACGGCCTAACGCTATGAATGCACAATGTCATTTAGAAAGTGGTCAAATTTAATATTTCATTTCAATGTGAACACAGATCAGGATGTTTTTAACCTTGTTAATTATCGTTTACGAATTCCTTTTTCTAAAACAGAAATAGACTTATTGCGACAAATGTTTGTACATAGATGGTGTTTATAATTGTTAGATTAAATGAACAGCTGAGATTGTTATCGGCTGTGTTCAAGGTTTGAGGTATTGTAAAACTACTGTCCTCCTGTTTGGGTACGTAAGTCCCAATACATTTGTGCTTACCAGACATATGTGGCGCACACTAGTTCAGTGTAAAAACAACGAATGATCTTTTTAACAATGTACATGTTCATGTAATTATTGTTTTTTGGTAATAGAGATATTTTTGGGGAATATAGAATGAATTTAAAACTTTGACTGTTCGTGGCAATAACTTCAAAAGGTGTTGAAGTTGCGTAAAAAGGTTTTTCCCCGAGCAGGTATATAAGTTCTATTTCATCCAAGGATTTATTTTATACTACGTGTTTGTAATCGTAGAATATGTGTTGTTAGACTGGAATACAATCGCTAACGACTGAAGAGATATACCTTTCCAAGGGAGTTAAAAGTACTGTAAAATGATTGTCCCCCGGACAGGGTACGTCAGTCCCTTTTCATTTACAGTATTTTTCATTGTCCATGATTTGAATCGTAGTGTAAAAGTTTTTTTATCGTATAGCTCAATTATGCACACAACACCATCATCTGGTCCTAGCACATGTACTGTAAGTCCCACTTGTCCCTAATATGGTGATCTACATTCAGTTGTTGGCAATCTATAGGAAGTTCCTAAAAGTGTTTCAACTTGACATACTAAATTTACGTCTCGTTCTTTCTTGTTTTGACTGTCCTTTAGAAAAAAATTTAAAATATAATTTAACTTTACATATTACAGATGTATCACTTGTTTTATTTACGACATGGCTGAAATACCACCGATGTTACTCACTCAGTCACCTAAAAAACGAAAGCAAATGTCATTTGAAGTTAACCGAGACATATATGTGAAGTGCTGCACTTTCTGATTGATTTGTCAAACTTTGGGGTAAAACATTTCGACAAAAAGTAGGCATGGGCACCACTTCCGCTCCCCTCGTTGCGGGTCTGTTTCTTTATGCATATGAATATAAACAAATGGTCTCTCATACCAGACACCTACAACGTAGGCAACCTAATGTCTTCACTCCAAACCATTCACACCACAAGCATAAAAATTACTATATAACAATTGTGGTCTTGTCAGTGAAGAATGTACTGACAAATGTTGATTCATGTACCGTTAGGATTTCAAAGTACATTATTATGCAGTATTTCAGGTCACTGAGAAACAAGCTATTACAAACCAAATATGCCCACTGATATGCAAAATGTTGATGAAATATATTCTTTAAAAAAAAGAAATTGATATGCTGTTTTGGAGTTTATTTACTGAGTGCATAACTGTTTCAAACATGACATCATTGCTCAATTACAGTAAAATCATCACTTTACAAATTTCTAAGACATGATTATCCAGAAAGTGTTCGGTAAAACCACAGAGGACTATTAAAGTTAGAGTGAAATGTTAGTATCTGGTGTGACCACCATGAGCATCGATAACAGCTTTGCAGCAGTGGCCAATGGAAGAAAGGCGATGCCGAATGCTGTCTTGAGGAATGTTTTGAAACTCTTGCTGACGTGCTGCGTGCAGTTCTTGTAGAGGTAGTGGAGTACGCGCAAGCGTCGATCAAGTGTGACCCATAGATGTTCAAATGGAGACAAATCGGGTGATCGAGAAGGCCATGGGAACACCTGCACGTTGTTTTGCTGGAGGAAGTCCTGGCAAACACGTGCAACGTGAGGTTGAGCAATGTCAAGCTGGAAAGATCTACCGTTGACGTTGATGAAGGAAGCGACGTGACGTTGCAAAATCTTCTCTATAGTGAATCCCATTCAATGCACCTGCCACGTGCACAAAGAGCTGTCCGGCCATTATGATGGATACCTGCCCACACCATGACACCACCAAAGCTATCGACCTGCTGTACACAGTAATCGGCTTTACGTTCGTCCCGACGTCTGTATACACGTGAACGTCCATCAGCACGTCTGAGACGAAACCGAGTCTCAGAACAAAATTGTCCTCCATCTTGCCCGCAGCCATCTCACTCATTGCCTGCACCAATGTAGACGTTCAGGCCAGTGAAGCTGTTGCAAGACGTTATGTCGAACTTATCTTGTTGCAAAACATCCGGCTTCCCGTTTCCGATTGCGTGCTGTCTGGTTGGAGATTTGGCGCGGTCCAGGGATTTGGGTTGTTGTGGATGTTGCGCCCGTGGTGAGTGAACGAAGACGTCTAAACCGGACGTAGCGATCTTGGGCGGCGGTGGTAACTTTTGTTCGACCTGACTTGTGTCTGCCATTAACAGTCCCAGTATTGTTGTACTGGGTCCATAGGTTTGAGACCATCTGTTTGCCTTGCCACCGCCTTGTAAACGGCCGATGGCGTTGTGTCGTTGATCCTCTGTCTGTCTGGGCTATATTGGCTTAAAGCAATGCATTTGGAGTATCGTTGATGTGGCCTTTTAACATCTACAATCATATATTACAGCTAGGATGATACACAATTTCATGATGCACGTGCATTTCATGAAAGGTGCGTTTTAGCAATTCACTACCAACGTGAGTGTAACGTTACGTTTTTGTTCTACTCTTTATTGTTTAAACGTTTTGTCGTCGGCAACCATTTCCCCGTTGTTGGGATTCAGCATGCGTTGGTTTGTGTCAAATATTCTCCTAAAATTCTCATTGTTCCTATGTCAAGTTTCACTTTTTGTTAAAAGAGTATATTAATAATATCATAAATGTCAAGCTTTCTTATTACAGCAGTGTACATTGTGAATATATATCAAGCGTTCTACCTATATTATTATAGTTTCAGAAACCTTATGCGCACAACTTTACACTTCCGTGTAGCCTCATAGATCATAATTGATGTGTTGGTCCATACAGGCAAGAAGTTAGGTCCCTTCCACGTATGGTTGACTTTATTCACCACTTGTTCCTTATCATCCAAATAACTGATTAGGTGAGGATACATAGCAATGGCCAAAGAACCATCATGATTCCATCGAAGTTTCCCCATATACGACAATCCAGGAATTGTTGTTGAGTTTTCCATCGCAAAACCAACTTCTCCAGCTTGAATGAGATATCTGAGGCTTTCTGCTTTTGCACGGTGTAGACGTAGAGAGCCACTCCAAACTTGGGGCTACAGGAGAAAACACACCTCACTGAGAAGCCGCAATGTCTGGACACAAAGTGAGTATATTAGAACGTGACAATACAATATAAAAACTGGCTATAGATCGCCGACAACTGAAGGTAGATCACCAAACCAAGGACCATGGGGACTTACAGTACCTTTGCTACCTGCATGGGCCCTAGTTGGATTTACACCATCCCTTCAGCTGGTGACGAGTGGAAAAAATGTTAGCCAAAATTAAATAACAACAATACTACGCTTTAAAAATCCTGGTAAGTTTGAATTGACTTTGAAGTTTTGGGACTTTAGTACCCTCTCAGGAGGACAATAATTTTACGCTACTTCATATCCCATGTAAGGATTCAGCAAAATAAAAAAGGATTCAACAGATCATTTAGCATAAAGATTCAACGAAGACTCTCAATGTGTAAATAGAATGTCTGTTCGACGGTCAGTTCAGAGAGATAGAAGTCATGTTTTCAATAGTTCAGCCTTAATGTGACTGTAGAATTTGTACCAATTAAAAACAAGCCAGTGTTCATTAAAAAGAATACAGTATGTTTGACCAAACTTGAAAAGAAAAGTATACATAAATGTTGTATAGGGGTGGGGTTAGGGTTGGGGGTTAGCGTATTTTTGACAGGTGACCTACCTCAACCTCATCAGTTCATGACACGCATAAGGGCATCACATGACATGAAAATTACAGAGACTAAAATCTTATCACCATATCAATAAACAGTGTCCATCAATCAATATTTGTTTCTGTGACAAATGATATGGTCGGTTGGTATATTACTTTAAATAACCATATTTGGTCATCAAATACATAAGCCCCTCATGTGACCCCTACTCTAAGAACGTTAGGGACTTATCAGACCAACGCCAGTCAAACAACACACAGGGGGCATGCACACATACCCGGTGATAAAGATGACCCATGCTCTGACTACTAAGAACGTTAGGGACTTATCAGACCAACGCCAGTCCAACAACACACAGGGGGCATGCACATATACCCAGAGATAAAATATGAAATATTGTCTCATGTGGCTTAAAATCTTAACTGACCCGTGAAGGTCTTCAACAACCCATGTGCTTGCCATAAAAGGCGACTATGCTTGTCGTAAGAGGCGACTAACGGGATCGGGTGGTCAGTTTCTCTGACTTGGTTGACACATGTCATCGGTTCCCAATTGCGCAGATCGATGCTCATGCTGTTGATGACTGGATTGTCTGGTCCAGACTCGATTATTTACAGACAGCCGCCATATAGCTGAAATATTGCTCAGTGTGGCGTAAAACTAAACTCACTCACTCACTCACTAAAATCTTAACTCACTCCAGTTATTGAGCGGTGACAGGTGGCGCTGGTAGTCTTCTGATATGTCCATCTAGGTAGTTCCACACGCGTCTATCGGATTTGTTTCGCCAGAACATGCTGGTCACGGCAAGACAACGATGTTAGGGTTATGCAGAAAGTCGTTTGTCAGTCTTGCTGTATGAGGCCTTGCGTTGTCGTGTTGGTAGACAATACCACGTGGTTGTTGCTGGATAAATGGCAACAGAACTGGTCGTAAAACTTCATCCCTGTATCTTAAAACATTCAGGTTGCCATGAAGAATCACATGTCTCGGTTTGAGATCGCCACAGATCCCACCCATCACCATCACGGTACCGGCTGCAAACGATCGGAGTTGCTGAACGCAATTCGTGCTAAATGTTCACCTACTAGTCTGTAAACACCATCGTTACTGCACAGGTAAAACCTACCCTCAATGTTCACCTACTAGTCTGTAAACACCATCGTTACTGCACAGGTAAAACCTACCCTCGATGTTCACCTACTAGTCTGTAAACACCATCGTTACTGCACAAGTAAAACCCACCCTCAATGTTCACCTACTAGTCTGTAAACACCATCGTTACTGCACAGGTAAAACCTACCCTCGATGTTCACCTACTAGTCTGTAAACACCATCGTTACTGCACAGATAAAACCTACCCTCGATGTTCACCTACTAGTCTGTAAACACCATCGTTACTGCACAGGTAAAACCTACCCTCAATGTTCACCTACTAGTCTGTAAACACCATCGTTACTGCACAGGTAAAACCTACCTCGATGTTCACCTACTAGTCTGTAAACACCATCGTTACTGCACAGGTAAAACTACCCTCGATGTTCACCTACTACTAGTCTGTAAACACCATCGTTACTGCACAGGTAAAACCTACCCTCGATGTTCACCTACTAGTCTGTAAACACCATCGTTACTGCACAGGTAAAACCTACCCTCGATGTTCACCTACTAGTCTGTAAACACCATCGTTACTGCACAGGTAAAACCTACCCTCAATGTTCACCTACTAGTCTGTAAACACCATCGTTACTGCACAGGTAAAACCTACCCTCAATGTTCACCTACTAGTCTGTAAACACCATCGTTACTGCACAGTT